CATGGTAGGAAAGAAAAGGGTATTATCTCTTCTCTAATTAAGAATGAGCACATGACACAATTCAGAAATTGAAAAAGATGTATTAAAATATTCACAAAAAGTATAATTGAAAAATAAGACCAAAAAAACCAGTAATGAGATTGGTGGTTTTTCCCTAGCTGAATACATTTCCATTGCAAAACTACAGATTGGAATTTTAATCTCGAAGTAATCTTTTTCTGATGCCCCCTTACACAATTCACATATGATTTTAAGCGGTCTCATTCTGTCGCAATAATACGTGGAACGGGGTGAGTCTGCCATCTGGAAGCAACCCTGCAGCCAGGCGAGGGATGCCAAGCAAGGAGAGAGGCCTCAAATCCAAAGTGCACAGAGGTTAGGAAAGGCCCTGCCCTGAGATGCTCTAGCCATACGAGGAGACCTTCCTTCAGGTAAGACTGTCTTGCAGACCCACAGAACTTGCTGGTAGCTAACTGCCCTTGCTGGGGAAGGCTGGTGAGGAAAGGCTCTGCCACAATGCAGGGTGCTGACAGAGCATGGGGGCTGGTTGGAGGCTGGAGAAGGAGGCAGTGAGGGGAGGAAAGGCCTACAGGTGTCATTTGAGCGTCCCCAGGGCACCACCTTCACAACGTAAATTCCCCCACGGCAAGGTGGAATCAGGGTTCCTGCTATCAGGGAGTATCAGGAATGTAGAGTTGATTCACAGGAGCTGTTGAGAAAGGAGAAAAGAATGCCCCCTTCTCTGTAAGGAATGACTGGAAAGAAACATGACACATACAAATGTACAGTCTCTCAACCATCGGGGTCCTTTCTACCTCGAGCACAGCCTTGGCCAGGTGTGCAGTTCCCACAGTGGCAGTCATGACGAATGGTGATGAGCCCAATGCCCCTCTCCTCCTGACACACGGAGGTCTTCCAGAGGCTCCTGTAAATTTTAGAATGCAAGGCAGAGTTGGCTGCTCGTGGAAACGTCTCAGGGCCGGCACTCTGTGTCACTCTCTTGAGAGGGTGGGGCCTATGAACAGCAGAGCAGGTGCAGAGGGCGGGGCCTATGAACAGCAGAGCAGGTGTGTTCTTCTCCATTCCACACAGAACAAAGACCAGATGCTGCCCAGCTCCAGAGGATGATGTGTGAGTAAAGCCTGATCCCTGTCTCCCCACACAGACGCGGGCTGTCAGCAGGAGCGTGATGAGAATAGCAAAAATAGTTCCTTAGGAAAGGCCGCGTGTACGGGGGAGAGTTAGTTTTGAGGCTCCTACGTCCTTCATCACCTTTATATCTAAATCCTACTTTATTTTATGAAAACTCTTAGAACTCAGCCTTCACACCCCCAGAAGATGACAACACAGGAGGGTCCACAATAAACCTCAAACGAAATCGGGTAAACACTAGCATTACTTCTCACTCCCACTCACCCCAGACATGTTCTGCAGACCAGCTAGACGCTATTCTTCTCATAAATGTAAGGTTTTCAGATGATTTTAAAGGGGCAATTTTTTTTTTTTAAACAAAATAAAGAAAATGGGGGAATGAAAATACGTGTCAATCAGTGTTTAATGATCTTCACCACTTTTTACTCCCAGTGAAAAATAAAAACTCGTAGATTTGAGGTGGGGTGCGGGTAGTCAACGGGAGAAAATGAGTTTGGGAAAGCTGGAGTCTCAGCTACTTGGGAGGCTACGGTGACCACTGCTTGAGCCCAGGAGTTTGAGGCCAGCCTGGGCTAAATATAGTGAGGCCTCATCTCGAAAAAAAGAAAATGATAATAATGATAAAAATTAACAGTGAAAGGAGGTCATTCTCTCTAGACAGGGCTGTGGGACACTGGGGAATAGCAATATAATGATCTCATTTCTGCCTGCTCAGAAGGCAAGAACCCCCTCTACTTCAGCTGTCTAGGGACTCTTATTTCAAGCAGGAAGGACTTCACCAAGGAAGAAAACTGATACTTTTTACTCTCCATATGGTCCAAGATTCCTACTTTATGGTACTGATCTAGATGTACCTAGAAGGAAGTGACCTCGGCCTTTATCCTTTGCTAAATCTTGCAGTTACGAATCCACAAGTTGATGTGACACGCTGAGAGAGTACGAAGGTAAAATAAGTCTCTACAACATGTAACACTAAACATTGCCCCATATTTTAGAGGAAAAAAAAATCAATAAAAACTTCTCCCACTATCTTCCTTGGCATAGCCAATGGATGTTTTCAAGAAGCTGCAACCCAGTAACAGATGCTGACACTGTTAAAGGCCACCCCGGACACGCTGCCATCATTGTTTCTCCTTTCTCCAACTACAAGAAATGCTAAGACTGATGAAGCCCTTTGATGAAAAGGCCATGTCTATTGAAAATACTAAAAGATCTGCTATCATGTCCATTAAGGCCAATCATTTCTGAATGATAGTGACAGGAATGTTTCTAAAATTTCCCAATTATAAATGACCCTGAATAGAAAAGTACAAACGTACAGCATGACAATATATATATACACACACATAGGGTCTGACCATCTTTTCATCATGCAACCTTGGCTCCTCACATCAGGAAGATTAAATAGAATATTTATACATATCCTTTATACACATATTTTTCTCCCTCTGAGTACACATGTGCTTGTCCTTGCTTGGGTCTTCAAGGCCACATGCGGTGATGGGCTACATTTTCTGCATAGGAGTCCAGTTTGGATTTGTTTCTTGCTTAGGATATGTTCTGGGTCTTAATTTTTCCGGATGTCTGCATACACCACAGACTCTGACTTGTTAATCTTGTCACTGTGATGTCCACCGGAGTGGTCTAACTGCGCATATATGACTGGGCCCTGGAAAAGAGAATAGAAGAATTAAAGGTTTGGAAAAGCTGGTGTTCCCTTTCAGGTATAGGCATCGAAGCAATAATTAAAACAGAAACATTAGGGTTTCAGAGCAAAGAGTTGTCTCTTTTGAATGTTTTCAAGAAGACCTTTTTAAAAAAACATATATATATATATATATTTTTTTTTGCAATTTTTGGCTGGGGCCAGGTTTGAACCTGCCACCTCTGGTATATGGGCCAGCACCCTACTCCTTTGAGCCACAGGCACCACCCAAGAAGACTTCTTATGAAAGGTATGTCCAGGATTGACTTTAAAAGAAGATTGGACAGACATTGATAATTATTAAAGTGAGTACATGGGGACTTGTTACATTATGCTCTCTTCTGTTAATGTTTGAAAATTTTTAGAACAACAAAATAGTCCTTTTTAAGAATACCCCTTAATATCTGTCATAGAATTGCTCA